TGTTGTTGTTGTTGTTGTTGTTGTTGTTGCTGCTGCTGCTGCTGCTGCTGGATTCTTTCACGGTGTAGCCTCAGTTGGTTCTCGTGGACTTCTCTCAGCGCAGCCAGCCTTTGCACTTGTCTTTGCACCCTTCTCTGTCGTTCTTCGTCATCGCCTTCCCCTTCGCCCAGTATACCATTGACAACGTTGATGTGATCCATGATGGGGCCTAAATCCAGCCCGCCGTCTCTCTTGGGGATCTGCCTAAGCGGGTCTCCTATGTCCTTGTCAACCATTCTCTTGAACCCTGGGTCTGTTCTTACTCTCTCGTTAACAACAAACAGCGACAGGTTCACAACAAGCAAGCATGCAATGGTGGCGAGCGACTCGACAAAGGTCACACCCCACGTCTTCACCAAGTTGTTCCAACTCCACGGATCACCTGTGAACGCTGCATCACCGTACACCAAGGACACGAAGAAGTCGCCATGAACGGGCACATTGTTCAGAGTATACGTCAAGAACCTGGTCACCACCGCCCAAAACAGTGGGATCTGTGCTGCAAACCCAACAACCAGTGCAACCACACTCAGCGAGTACCGAATCCACCTGCTGGCACGCTGCTTCCATCTCGACAGGATCAACGAGACAGGTGCAACCTCCGGCGTGTCCGGGTTGTACACCGTGGTGAACTTGTACTGCTCATGGCAGATGTCACAGGTGGCATCCTTCTTGTTGGAGTGTTTCAACCACTCCTCCAAGCAGTCTTGATGAATGTACTTGATGGAGCCTCTACACTTACAAGGATGGAACAACGGTGAAGACGGCGTGGCTTCACCACGGCAGATACGACACGTATTCTCTTCCAGGGCCTCGTCCATGCTGGAAATGTCTCTCCAATTGGTGATCGTTGTCGTTCTCTCTTGTGCAGTCTTTATGTCTCGTGGTGGGCGTGGGTTTTTTGCTCTCGCTGGTTGATGATTTTCCACCCTGGGCAGCGTAGGCGGTGGACGTTTTTTTCTGCCTAACTTCTCGCCTAACTTCTCGCCTAACTTCCCGCCTAACTTTCCCTTCTACCTACCACCGCAAACAGACAGGCAGGTAAACAAAGCAATGCTCCGTCGCCAGCCAACCACCATCAAATTGACGCCCGAAGACGTCCTCAGCTACGACGATGAGAAGCTGACGGTGTCGAGCACCAGTGGCCGGGCTGGAGCCAATCAGAATGTGTCGTGTGAGCCTCAGGAAGCGGACCCGAAGAGTAAACAGGAACGCATTGGGCTTGTTGCTAGAAGAAGCTGAGGGTTGTCTACTGTGAGAGGAATGTTCTGCGTATATTGAAACCAGAAGGGAACGTAAAGAAGAAAGAGGAAGAGGAGAGGACGACGAAGAAACAGAGAGAGAAAGAAAGAAAGAAAGAAAAAAGTGAGCTCCCTTCTAGGAAGTGTATAATTAATCCAGCCAGCTAGCTTTTGCCATTTACCCCCATGTTCGTGTGTTATAAAATTTGATTGCCATATTTGTTTATCCATAAGTTGAAGAATTGTGTTCATCTGCTGCTTGTCGTCGTCCTGGTCGTCACCACCGGTGTGCTGGAGCCCCTCATTTGAAGTACTTTGTGAACTTCGACAACAGTGACATGCTGGTGTAGTATCTCACTTGGCGGTCGCCATCAGCAACGCTAACGAGGTTCACGGGCGTGGATGAAGGCGTCACCGAATTGAGACCACCAGAGAGCGTCACCTGGGCGCTCGAGTTCAAGTCCGTGTTGTCACGGTCGTCAACGTCATAGTCGTCATCAACGTCATAGTCCAACGCACAGTCCGTGTCAAACTGCTCAAAGGGACTCATCTCCCCATAGCTCACGTTGGTGAAACTTGTTGTCTCGGCTTCAGAGTGCGAGTTATTGTGACCAAGAAGCGTGTAGTCTTCAGCGTCGCTCGGATCAACGAGCTGTTCTGGATACACAACATTGTTTTCTATCCCGGTGGTGGAGTCCCTCTCCACCTTGAACTGTGACGTGGTGGTCCACTGTCCATCAACAACGTACTTGAACAACACCTTCTCCCTCTGCGGGAACGACACCGTGGCTCGCAACTTACCGTCGGAACTCTGCGACAATTTGGTTGACTTGGACCAGTTGTCAAAGGTTCCGGTCACGTATACTGAACTTGTGGACCCATTCGATGGCCTGGAGAACCGCAGAACAGGAAAGAGTCGTTAGCCTTGATCCCCGTCAACCGTCACAAAACACAACAAAAACATACCACTCAAATGTAAACTGGTGAGTCATTGGTCTCTTGATGTCAATCAATGGATTGTGTTGTTTCTCCTTTGACCTGATCCTTATCAAATTTGTAAAGAATTGATAGGTTGAAAGGGGTTACAACTGTTGCCCCAAAAAGGTGTCCTTCCGTTTGTAGACTTTTGTAGACTTTTACGCCAAATGTGGAACTGCTGTCAGGGCACGAAAATACACAGCAAAATGACAGCAAAA